TATATCATTACAAACAAATATTATCCATCTATAAAAATGATTATAAATCCGTTTAAAACCGATTAAAGTTATACTATTTTTACTCACTTATAATCTGATTTTAAACTCATGATATAGCTTTTTCTACTTAGGGGTACCCAAAAGTAGTGGCGAAGATACCCTATTTTCTTATAGAAGGCTTGAGGAAGTTTTCTTTCTTTATGAGGTGATAGACTAAATGAAGCTCTATTTTTCTATGCTATTTCATCTCTATTCAACTGGTATCATAATACTAAAATTTCGATAAGAACTCTTTTTGTGTAAAACTTCACTAGCGTCTGATGCCGATTACCATGCTTTCCATCTCAATATCCAATCATTTAATACGTTGTATTAATAAATAAAATATACCACAAAATGCAGCGGAAAAAGCTCTACAATTTGTAATGAACAGTTTATTTTATATACGAAATAAGAAAAAAAAGGAATTTCTCTTCCTATGATTTTTTCGGGCCAGTGAAAACTAGTCGCCCAGAGTTTTGTTCTTTTTTGACGAGAAGTACACAATTAAAATAAGCTTTACTTTGTGGATTGTAGAGCTTTTCACGCTGCTTCTTGTGGTATACTTTGATTTTCAACACAATGTATTAACTGATTAAAATATTGAATTTGCCTCACCCGTTCGTGAAGTTTTACACAATAAGAGTTCTTATCGACATTTTACTATTATGATACGAGTAGAAGAGAGATGAAATAGCATATAAAAATAGAGCTTCATTTTCTCTATCACCTCATAAGGAAAGAAAATATCCTCAAGCCTTCTATAAGAAAATAAGGTACCTCCGTTACTACTTTTGGGTACCTCTAAGTATATATATAAGAAAAAGAAAAAAATTGCTTTAATTTTGGATTTTCGGCACCTTATAAACAAACAAAATTTTATACGACAATACTCTTCATCCGTATATCTGCTTATTCTTAATTTACTTTTTTGTACATATTCATTTGAAAAACATGTTTCTGCATTATCTATTCTCATTAATTACAATATAATCATATTTACCCTTCATATAAATCAAAAATTTAAGAAAAATTTTCATCAAGTCACGCACATCTGATATAAACAATTACGACTGATTACCCTTGTGGTGTTATCTTTTTAAAGTTACTTTTTAAGAAGATCATTTTAAGACGATGCTTAATTTCACCTAGATTTCAAGTTTTCCTGATAAGTATGTAAAACAATACAATGTTTTGATTTCTTTTATACAAAGAGATTCTATTAATTTTCTTTGTATGTTTTTCAGAATATCGAAATAGTTTTGAGCCGAATTCAAACTTCATATAAAGGTCAACTGACGGTAAAACCATTGTCTCACTCACCCTGCCTCCATTATGTTTAGATGAAATTATATGAATAGAGTACATCGATTGTGGGATACATATTGTACGAGTCAGTTTTCAAAGAACTGTCCAAACGACTTTTCAGACCTGCGGTCGTCGTCAAGGATCGGTCGACAACGTTTTATGTTTTTTCACAATAAGCACATCACTAGATTGGAAGTTTCATACAAGTCACGAATATCACCTTTAAATTTTAAAAGTATGAAGTTTTGTCGAAGGCAGCTATAAACAGACATTTAGTTTTAAGTGTCAGCCTATATAGAAAATGAGTCTAAAATACTTGAACACATGTTTTCATAGGCAAAAATTTAATGATTCATTCGACGCATATAAAATAATATTCTTGAATGGTCAAAGTAAGACTTAATGGAACACTAATCTGGAAGCCGAATAACTGAATTTTTGTGTAAGATGTTTTTTGTATTGTCGAATACGATTTTTCAAATTGATTCTGAAAGCGAATTTAAAAATTAAAGAAAATGTTGTGGAAAATGTTTATATTGAATAAAAGATGTGAAAATTTTATTTTTCTTCTTGTACTAACTTACATAAGGTATTAGAGTACATTTAAATCTGATTTTAGACAATACATTGGGAATCAGCAATATAAGCTACATCAGAGAATCTATTTTATATACAAGAAAAGCTGTTTGTTTTTTTGTTGTTCGAAAATTTCCCTGGTGTGTCTACCCGGGTAAACGCGTAAAAGTTAAATGTCGTTAAATACATCCTAACTCTTGTGGATACGAGAAGAAACATAGAATTTTCAAGCAATTTATTGAATATGAGCAATTTTCACAGCTTTTTCTCAATTTTTGAACTCGCTTTTGAAATCTGTATAAAAAATTGCATGCACCCATATAGAAAACGCAGTGCCTAGTAACCCAGTTACTAAGCAGAAAAGTTGCTAATTTGCAAGAAAGTAGCCTTTCGACACTAAGCTTCTAGTTTGAACTCCAATTAAATCTCAATTTGAGCTTTAGAGCCATCATTTCATATATGCTGAATGGATCATCGAGGTTCCCTAAGAGAACATGGGTTTAAGGATTTCATACTTATTTCACATACATAGTTTTTGGAATTTAAAGATAATATTCATGATTAGTGTGAAATTCTGAATCGAGTGATGTGCTTATTGCAACAGACACAGGTAAAACGTTGCAAATCATTTCTTGAGGAGAATCCCAAACGAAAAAAAACGTTGAAATGATTTCACAAAAGTAACGCGCATAAAATGTTTCCCACCATTGACATAACATGTTCATCAAATTTTGACTTGAAAATGATCGGGGGGAGAGGGAAGAAGGAAATGTCTTTACCACCATTTGTCATTCGTTTGTTAAATATAGAAACATCGATCTTGCATTTGATTGAATGAGATATTGGAATTTGCTGGTCTGTTTTTGATAATGGCAATAAAAAATAAATAAAATTCTGAAATCTTTTGGATACACAACTTTGTTTTTAACATGATATTTTGAAGAATACTTTAGATATATATGAAGTCAACATTATTCATATTGAATTCTTTTGTATATTTGTGAGCAAAAAACTTCGAGACTTTCGATGTTATTTTATTTATAGATGTACAAATATTTGCCAAATATGTTGTTCATTGTCTTCAATCAAATGTAAAATTAACTCAAGAAGACTTAATTTCTTTTTCCATTGCAGAAGTGAAGTTAGAATACGCCACTTCAAGTAACGAAGAAAAACATTCAGTTATATAAAAAAAAAGAAAGATTAATGAACGTTTTAAATGCTGTTATTTTGCAAGAAATATCACTATGAGAGAAAAGAGATAGAAATGAAATTATTTTCTATAAGTAGAAGACACAATCTAGCCCCATGTAGGTCGTGTTATAGAAAGAATTAAACTAATTTGTGTAAAATGTAGGAACAGAAAATTCGAGTAAATTTTGTCTTTGACTTACTCATGATACATGACTTTAAAGAGCTTAACAATGTGGTCACGAATACATATTTTGATTTCAATTAGATCACTTCGTTGTTAGCAAAAACCACATGAATCTTATTGTATCAGATGTATGGCCAAAAATTACTTTTTTTTTTTAAAGAAAAGCTGTCTATTTTCTAAACTCTTTGAAAACATTTCATTTTTGATTCAGCATCAAAAATTGAGTAGAACAATATTAGTTGCTTTGGTTTACGATGATTCAAGTAAAACATTTTATTCATATTAGATAGCCTTAAAACATAACGTTCATAGGAACTTTTGTAAACTTATCTAGTTTTTATGAGAAAAGTAAGATTAAGTATTGTATCCCACTAGGATCATCAGACTTCAGGCTAAATAAGTATATATTATTCATCATTGAAAAAAGTGAACATGTTCTCATTTTGATGACATATGAGAAAAAAAAATGACCTTATATTTTAGTTTTTTATTGTCATAGTTCAATAGTAAAGCAAAATACATAGTGAGTCGAAAACAAAAATAAAAAATCTACATTAAATCACATAAATGTTAGTGAAATCTGTGTTCTATCTCATTAATTTTTTTCGAAACTTTGTCTGTAGTTCGATCATGATTTGATGTTGCTAACATATATGTGGTTCGATATAGGTTTTTATGTTAATTTCCCATTTTCCATTTATTTTATCTTTCTATTGAGCTATGATCATAATAACTACAAAATACAAGACCATTTTTTTCCGTTCGTCATCAAAATGCGAATATGTTCAAGTTTCTCAATAATTAATAATAGATACTTGTCTAGCTCGAAATTTCTTAAGTCTAATGAGATAAGACATTTGACCTTATCTTTTCTCACAAAAAGAGCTATTATCCATTTCAAAAAAAAAAAAAAAAGAAAAACGGTGAGTAGTTTTTTGAATAAATCTTCATAAGATTAAGATACTGAGCTGATGTTTTCATTGTGACAAAGAATATATCCACACTTATAAATTTCTGGTGAAAATTTTAAAAATGATATTCTTGACCCACTTTTCAGTTTAACTTGATTGTTCATATAATCGGTGGATAGAAAAAGTTGTTTTCTTTCGATCTAAATAAAACCAATATTGCTAGCTCCTTTCATTGCAGAGTAATAAGGATTTCTTTAACTTCACGAATTGATCTGAGATCATTCGGAAAAGTATATATATAGGTAAAGGTGATGCATCATACTGAGTCGAATGGCAACATTTGCATTTGAATTCGAAATGATCTGACACTGTTATCTAAATGTTTTTCGACTAAAAAAAAAAAACAATGTCGCCATTCGACTGAGCATGATGAATTACTTCTGTATAGTTGCCTTTTCAGATGATCTTGTGTCAATTGGTTGAAAACAGGAGTCTCAAGAAAACTCTTACGATTATGGAACGGGATACCAACGACAGGGTGACTTGATTGAAATCACAAATATATATTTGTAACCAATTCATCAAACCATATGTAATAAATAAATCGAAAATGAAATTCATTAGAATTTGACGTTCTTCGTACCTAATAACAATAACAATGTGTGTATAGCGCCAGACAGTTTCTAAAGTTTGTTTAGACTTTAACATGACATAGTTGAAGTAGCTAATAAGATTCTTTTTTTTTTCATATTTATAATTGATTAATTTGGTATAGTGAACAACAAAAAATGGTCAATCTCGATACTTCTCAAAGTCATTCGGCTATTTTTATTATTTTGCTTACATTAACTATCTTATCAATTATATGTTCACTTGTTATTTTTTATCATTTTATTCGATTACGTGAACTACGACGAAATGTTCATAATCATGTAATTCTTATTTTATTAATCATCAGTTTTATACAAGTAATAAAAATAAAGGTTTTTTTTTTAAATTAATAATAATAATAATAATAATGCGTGCAAACTTATTTTTTTAGGTCACAGGTGAGCTTCCATTAACTCTGATCTTCTTACGAACTGGTTCAGCTGCAATTTTATCGTATAAATTTTGTGAATTTTGGATTATTTTTAATTATGTATGTTTCACCAGTGAATGTTGGACAATGGCTATAGCAAGTATTGAACGATATTGGCTTGTATTTCATCGAAAATTTTTCGATAAATACATTCTCGTTTTTCATTATATTCCAATAATAATGTGTATTCTCTATCCATTAGTACTTTATATTTGTTTAATTACTCAATATACATGTAAAAATAATTTCAATTTTACATTTTGGACATGTGGAGGTGCATGCTATCTTTATGAAGTAAGTTATAAGTTGCAAACTATTTTTGTCATATATCAACTATCATATCTTAAAAGAAATCCTTTAATCTTTGCTGTTATATAGATTTAAATTAATACGACACAGTATAATATCGAATAGCTGTCTAAATTTTAAAATAATTAAAAAAAAAAAAAAAATAATTACTATATGATAATACATTCTATTTTTAGCCTATACTTGGCACATTCGATTGGATAGTGAATAGTTGCTTTGATGTAGTATTGAGTATTATTGCGACATGTATAATTATTATTCGTGTTTTATTTCAAAATCGACAAACAGGTGCTCAACGAACAGTGTGGCAACGTCGACGACGCATAGTTATGCAATTGGTTGCTCTGTCAACACTTTATATGATTGTATGGGCACCTTGTGTTATTTGCTTTGTTATAACACTTTTTACACCAGTACCATTCTTATCTGCATTTTATTCAGCTTATCTTAGCTATTATCAATATATATCATGTCTTCTATGTCCATTTGCCTGTCTTTTAGGCTCATCGGACATACGAGAAGCTTTTAAACTTAATCGATTTGTTCAACCATCGGTAAATATTGTGCAACCAGCTATACTTCGTCTTCAATATTAATCATAAATTAATATTCATGGTCAATCTTTTAAACATCTTTAAATCAGAAAAATAATAAATAAATCTTGAAATAAAATCTTCTTAATAATAGAATATTTTCAAAGTACATCACATGAGCAATGGAAATTTTCCCATAGTAATTGTATTGTTTAACAACATATTCATCTCAATCAATACTAAATGTTTACATTCACTTTAATGGCGGTACTGTAGAGGGATAGCAAACAGAGTTCAGCCCTCTGGAAAATGTAAAGTTGTTGCTAAATGTGGTCCTATAGAAAGTCTAAGAGGAGCTCAATCTCTCCGATCAAAACTCCTGGCGTCACTGCTACTTTATTCCAACATTCGCAGAGATTTACTTCTAAAATGGAATAACTTTCTTCTTATTTTTTATTATTTCCTATTTTAGATAAAGTATTCAGTGTCGAAGATCAATTGTTTTTTGAATAGAAAGTTAAGATCTTTAAAAACCAGAGATGGTCAAGTCAAGTCATTTTTTAACTTGAGAATTGTTTTTCACTTATTGATGTGACTTGAATTTCAAAAATCTTTGACTTGCCCATCTCTCTGTTAAAAACTTATAATACTTCACAAATTGCAATGCCTTTTTAGACATGTACGATAAGAAGTTTATGATAGTTTCTTTCATTATGTCACAATATAACTGATACAACGTTGTTTTAAGAAACTGTAATAAAGAAAACCTGAATTATTTCTAATGATGTTAAACTAATGTATTTTTGAAGAGAATGAAGGTCAGTACAGTGCAACGATTTCAAGAAACATCCGAAATCTCGATTTAGAATTCAGATCCGATTATTAAAAATGTCGCAAAGAAAAAGTCTTTTCAAATTCAGTTCCTGAATAGTGTTGTTGAATTCAATGATCAGATAACTCGATATTAAAGAATAAATACGTTTATTTTTAAAAATTTCTATATACAATTTATCAAGATTATTTACATCTACTGTTTATAGAAAAACTTATTCCTCTCTCAAAAATAAAATGAAAAAGAAACAAAAAACTAACTAGAAGTTCAAAGAAACTCATGAGAATAAATATTCTTGTCTTAATGAAGAATATTTTATATCACTAAAGATGAGTTTTCACACACTAGCAGTATTACTGGACAAGACGCATAAAAACTAAAATTTATTATAGTAAAGCTCATGTTTTCAATTCTTTTGTGGATATAAAAAGTTATCTGATCAGTTTTTTCTATTATCATAGCAATTCAATGCAGCGAATCAAAGACATTTTTTTTTATCCTGCAGAAATGATGCAAGGATGCGAAACTATATATGATTTACTCTAGTTACAAAAACTGCTATCACAATCCCTGCAAGATTGAAATATGAAAGACGATGTATCTACTTTTGCTAATCACAGAAAGATTATTTAAAGCTATCTATTTTGGGATACACATCTTCGATATCCTTTTTACTTTACCTTCGGGAAATTCAATAAGAAAGTATTTTCTGCGTGATAACAAGACGTTATTGATGTATGGCCTATAATTGTATTTTAACAACGTCTGTGACGGTTTGTCTGAAGGAGGCTAGGTCTGAGTTTTTATCGTTCTACTTCAACACTCCTTTAAGATCATGTTCACAATACTAAATTGAATTTATCTATCTAATTTGATCACTCTGAAAGTACATAAGTACTCATGACAAATATATGATAAGTTCAAAGTGATGCTAATAGTGTTTTTATAGATTAGTTGTGTGAAAATTTTGAAATCATGTACTCAACTACCTGACAGATGCTTTCAGTTAGCGAGTGACTGAAAAGTTTATATGACATACCATGTAATATCAGTGTATTCGAAAATAAAGCATACTTATTCTGTTTTCAATACATTCACAAAAATTATGATCATTAAATTATTTTCGATTCCGATTTCATGGCGTTGGTTCTAGTTTCCTATTATAAGATCAAACGGATTTGAGTTTTCATTAGTCTCTCTCACATTGCAGACTTTAGCTACCATAGACAACAGTCATCAGATTCCTTTTCCAGAGTTCTTTAGCGCTGCTCTACGACATTACAAAGTCTTTGCTGAAATTTGAATAACTGAAATACACTTATAGATATTCTAAATCTCGCAGTTTCTGAGTTTTACGTAGATAAAAATGTCAAAAATGATAGATAGTGATAATATTGATTTGCTGCAATCGTCATCTGATCAACATAAAAGGTATAGATTTATCAAGCTATACACCTTTGGAAAATCATCCATATCAGTTTTTAAGAGCTTATCAAGATATTTCATAGTACGTTGAGACTTATTGTAGATATAATGGATATGTACAACAGGCGTATTTGCAAGTTTAATCCATGATTAGAATAATAATAATGTTAAATTATATAAAAAAATCTATGTGAAATGCACAAATTGCTTCTCTCGCAATCGATTATCTTTGAAAACAATTATAATCTGTAAGAGATTTTTCATATCACGTATTCTATATCAGTATAATATGAAGCTAAAGAACATATTTTAGTTCCAAAAGGACTGTCCAGATAAGTTTTCTTTTTTGAACCATCGTACACTAAACATAAAACTTAAACAATTCAAAATATATGTTGTGATAAATAATCTTTCTTTTTTAAACGAATGAAATTCTGTAACTTATTTTATAAAGTCATTTAATAAACAAGATTAATCTAGGATAAATATTAATATAATTATTGAATATATTTCTTTTTGTTCTGAATTTTCATATCGACATACACATGTACAGCTAGAGTATTGTACAGAACGAGTAAAAAGAAGAAGAAGAAAAAAAAAGAAGGATTAACTATTCAATACATAGAAAATATTAATATTAAACAATAAATGTTAGTCAATTTTGACTTGATTGACTGGTGCTTTCTTCATCAACCATCATTTGAGTATCTTGTGTCGAGTTCGGTACACTTTCTTGTTCTTGTTGTTGATCTGTATTATTTGTTGTCATAGAAGCTGTTTTATCAGCAACAATTTGTGAAGCAAGTGTTGGAGCTAATGTTGGTGCTGGCATCCATTTATGAACACGCATAGATGTTTCATGAATGGTTACCCATCGTTTTTCCCATTTTCGTACAGCTTGTGATGCATAGGAATATTGAAGAGCTCGTTTAAGATCAGGATCATTAGAATGATGAATTCGACCACCATAAACACCACCGCTATTACTGTAACGATTTGATGAACCTGATGATGACCCGCCACGGGCTTCACTCCGAAGACGAGGTACAATCATTTTATCTGCAAAATAATTAAAACTAAAGAGAGCATTTTTTTTTTCTTCATCAAATTGTTAACAAAAGACATGTAGAAAAACAAACATGACTCATTCATAAATCTATTTGATTTGAGTTATTATTGAAATAAAATTCGTATATAACTATTACTTTCTTTTTTTTTGGAAATAATCATCATAATAGAATATTCAGATTTGATTTTTCTACGAATGAAAATTTTCCATAAAAACCTCTGCTTGTTTATAGATGTCGCTCAAATTCGTATGAGTTTTACTAATCTTTATTGAAATCTCCGAATGTTCCAATAGATTCTAACAGCATGAAAATGAATATTAAATTTTTTTTTTCTTAAATTGTATTGCTTTTTTTTATGTACAGCAATATGACTCTACTACAACGACGATCAAGTTGATGCGCTCTATAGGAACTGAAAAGAAAAATACCAAAAGCAAAATGTAGAAAATTTCAACTAACAAGACATCTTTTTTACTTTTAGCAAAGGGGTGTAGGTATGGAGAAGGAGATGTGAGTGTGTCGGTGTACAATGTGAATGTCGGATGATAGCCTGAATGTGTGAATTCTAGTCTTCTCTTTACGTACACTCACATTCAGATTGTAAACACCAATACTTTTTAATATTCAATGATAGTTTTCGATAGCATAAATTATCTTTCAAAATACTTTGTACGACATTGTTTTTACTGAATAAAATTCGTTGATTCTGAATATAATGAAGAAAAATAATAATAGTTTTGCAGAAATCGATCAACTGTAATAGAAATTTTCAATAAAAACAATAAAAATAATAAACTAGTTGTAAGACAAAAGGATTTTTTAATAAAAAATTTTGTAAAATTTTTAATATTTTACCAATTTATTATTTCATAGACCTACATCTTTAAATATTTGTTCAACATTTTAATAAAAAATGCTCGATGCTATTATCATTTAATATTAAGTGTTATTTGTTAGTTTTACCATGAAGCATATTGTTATCTATTGACCACAAATATTACAAAATTTTCCCAGCATTATTATAACTATTCTTCGAATACAAAAGATCTAAGCTAAGATGGATATAGAATCTTTTCAAAAGATGTTTGATATGATCTAATAAATAATTTTTTTTAGAATAGTCAGCTACATATCTGATGAGACCAACTAGCTACCAAGAGAGGTGAATGTAATTAGAAACCATGAGAATACTATTTTGATAAATATGTGTATAGGTCTTCCAAAAAAAAAATACACTAGCGAAACAAAATCCCCTCTGGTATATCGGTTACTATACATGTTGGAAGTGTGAAAACTTGTGTATGCATACGTCACTAAGACTTTAGTTCAGAAGCACGAAATCCTCCAGATTGCTTAAATACAACGAGAACTATGATGAAGGACGTCTGTCTTTGCTCCAAGCTTTCAGCCTAAAAAAATATTGTCAATTAAATTTTCCGTTATCTTTTATCAAATATACGATTAATTCTTGATATTTTAGCATGCAAGTAGAATCCAGTCGATGCTCTTTTCTTTTTAGTCGAAAGATCAAGTAATTTAATCGAAGATTGCTATCTCTGTCTTCTGATGACATTTTCATTCAGTGAAAGATTTTTTCATAAAACTTTAACTGCAAGCAAAGCTTATGTACCAGTTTTAACTCGATCCACTAAACTATTACTGAATAATAGTCTTCAACGAACAGCAGATAGTTTTTTCTTCACCAAAATGATCATGGCACAATGACTAAGATTCTAGGAAGAGTTGATGAAATTACTACGATAAACAGTCGGAACAAACCACTGAATAATGAAGAATGAGCTTACCTACAAAGTTCCTTTTTTTTAGAATGATTAAATTAATAGGAAAATAGGTGCGATTCATAACTATCTATCACAATTCGTCTCAGGCCTATATTTTTCATGAAGTATGCGCACATAACTTTTCCAACGCATAATATGCATATGATAATCAAGATTTGTGAGTTGTGATACTTTGGTTCCCTACTAAATATTAATACGTTTGATAGTCGAGTGCAAATGTTTCGCTTACAAAACTGATACTGCATGCGAAAAAATGAAATCAACACAAGGAATTAGAAGTAATACCAGACGTATCTCAAGGTCACCAAGATTGAAAAGAGAGGGAGTACCCAGACTCAGGAGACTGATTGAAAGATTCTTGCTAAAACTCACTAGATTTGATAGGGATCGAGCGGTTTTTTTTTTTTGAGAATGAATAATCAAAAGAACCGAATAAAGTACTGAAGCTTTGCTAAGGAAAAGTGAAATTTTCTCAAGATTAGAAGATACGTTCTCAATTAGGACACCTTGGGCTGGTATAAAAGAAAAATGACAATTGAAAAGTTGGTTGCTAGTTATTTACTATTCTTCTCGATCAAGTAAATATTAAATTTTTCTTAATATTGTATTGTTTGTTCGATTAAACATATACTGCATCAGTATCATATGTATCTAGTTACAAAGTCAATTGTACATGAGTTTAGTTTTGTATGTGTCTTTAGAAAAAATAGTTTCTAAATCAAATATGAATATTATAATTGCGATATCAAATAATTATTTTGCCATTCGAGAAACATTCTAGACAAGTATTCATATGAATAGTATCAATTGTCAGGTATACTATTTAAATATCAAAACGAAACCATGATTGATTAATTATTTATTGTTTATTATGATTTTTAGTTAGCAAATTGAAAATAGTTTGATATATATTCATGAAAGTATTTATATTTCTTGACTATACTATTAATTGCAATACCTTGATGACGAAAGTAATGAATGAATGAAAAGACCTTGATGAAACATCATCATTTATAATAAAATGTTCATGACATTCTTCTGTCAATAAACATATTTTATGAGAAGTAATTGAGAAAATTGAAAGAACACTTTAATCAATGATACAACACTTTTAATAATTTCAATATACATATATGTTTAATGTATAAATGTTTATTAAACTTAACCAAATATTATGACATTTAACAGAAATAAGAAGACAAGAAATAATCTTCTGTTTGATTTACCTAACACAATGAATAACAAAGGTCGTGCTCTTCTTAAATATGCTCTTTTCAAGCATCATTTTCGTGTAGTGATTTCAACATATATATAGGAAAACATTTGCTCTTCTTTTTGCGTTGTTCTATTCTTTATCGTTTTCTTTTTGTTTTGATTTTTGTTTTTCTTCTTATTTATCAATGCTACTATGTGTGAGAAGTAATAAAGATTAACTTCCAGCACGAGTACACTAACAACAACAACAATAACGAAATCAACATTGAAGTAGAAATTAAAAATTCTAAGAATGATTTTATGATTGTGTTTTGCCAGTTATTTAATCGTGCGGTTAAATAAGAATTTGAAAAAGATATAAATCTATGTAAATATATATATATATATGAATAAATATAGTTTTTCGTTCTTTGATGAAAAAAAGTGCCACGGTTGCTTTTTGTTATTAGTTTCTTTTTTTCTTTTTCTTTCTTGTCTACTAATGTCGTTTACTCGGATGCAAGCAGTCAGACAGAGAAAGTGTCTTTTACATTAGGTGACTAAGACAACGTAGCACATACATGCCAATTAGATTTTTTTTTTTATTCAGGTAGTAGTAGTAGTAGTAGTAGCATCAGAAGACCTTGAAACTTTCAGTCAACCCTAGTTAATTGAATAGCGACCTTTGACAAACAATGTCTTCTTCTGTAGACATGCGCCAGTGTCGACGCCAAATCTTTTGATCAATACTAGAGAATAAGGAGTACGACACGAAGGGAAAAAAAATGAAGAAAAAGAATTTATAATATAAGTTGTAACCGTAGAAAAAAAAAAAGAAGCACAAAAAAGGAGAAAAGGTAATAACATATATATATACATATTCATAATCAAGATGTTCTAAGAGCAATATTCGATTACTAAAAAAATTTCCATAAATTATAAATATTCTATGCTCTTTCATCGTGTTCATTACTATCGTAGTAAGACGAACAATTAATCGCACTTGATTAGTCAATCAAATAAAAAACTGAAACCCTACACTTTTTGTGCTCATTGGTGCGCGTGTGATCAAAACTATACACAACAACGATACGTAGGTTAGTAAAAAAAAAAAAAAAATCCGTTTTCTCTATTTTGATTCTTCAAACTATATAAACGTACTTTCAAATCATTGTAGAGGATTTTTTTTTTTATTTTGATTTTTTCATGTATGTATACAGGTCACGGGGATGAATACTTCGTGTTTAGGAGACTTTTTTTTTGCTTTTGAGATTTAGTTATTTGACGCCTACATGCCATTTACAATCGATCTTTTGAGTATCACATGAGGAATAGAGATATTACACATGCAGGTGATACAAAAAATATCAGAGAAAAAAGAGCATTATATATATCTTGATTTTATTCTGACAAATAGTAATATGGCGAGTGTTAAATCACTGTGGTATTATTGCTATTTATTTTTTATGTTGTTGTTATCATTGTCAATGTCATAAATTCTCACTTTTACTTCGTACTATGAATATATTTAAAAGAACGATGTCTATTCGTTTTCTTCTTTCTAAATATAGAGAAATATATATATGGTGAGGTGAATGTGTGCACGTCACATTTCTATCATTATATAAAATAATATTCTTCTATAATTTCTTTTTTGTTTTTCACATATTTTGTTTTTTTTTTGTTTTTATTACTTTTTCTTGTTAAGGTAGTTAATAACGATTTGATATCAAGTAAAAATGATGTTTGTTAAGAGTTACAAAATAATACATTTTTTATCCTTGTTTTTTCAATAATAGAAATAAAACTAATATTTGTTTGTTAAAAAACAAGCTTCTTCCATTTCAATCAGTATTATTATAATCAGTTTGAGATGCTAACTTTTTTTTTTGTATATATTGTTATTTTAGATGGCAACTGCAACTCGTCAGTATGGTCGTCGCGGAGCAAGTAATGCGAATACGACGAAACCAGCTAGTTCTGACTCAGGTGTCCCATTATCTCCATCATCTACGACAGCTTCAATATCGACACCACCTCGTCGATACGTTCTTGATGTGCCAACAAGTCGTACAACACGTACAAGTCATACATCAGCAACTGAAGTAGCGGATGAATACGACGAAACAAATGCACGGCGTGTAGGTGGTGATAGTACAATAGCTTATTCTGATGTTTTTACAACTGATGCTTATAATAATGATGCAGATCAATTATCACGCTCAGGTTCTAGAGAATATTATTATCGAGATGGTGGAATTGAATTATCAACATCGGCAACAAATCGTTATTTAGAAGATTCAACTGTTAAACAATTAATTCAATCCAATACAACATATTCAAATACAGTAGCTGAAGATCAAGAAGTTCAAGCATTAACAGCAAAAGCTACACCGGATGTGAAAAACTATCCAATTAATGTTGATCCTAATCCAGAATTAGTTGTTCGACCAAATACACAAAGATTAACATATAAACAAGATATTGCTGTTAGATATTTAAAACCAAATACCCCACCACCACCAGGTGTAAGATTATTTTTTGTTTTGCTTGAACTCCCTGACAATTTAAAGAATCAATATTAAATACTATACATAATTTTCTTTTCTATTTTTATCTTTTTTTCTATAGCCTATTATTATTCGTGAAATTCGTGCACCACCTCCACCACCTGCTCCACCAATAATTCTTCGTCAACGTCCTCCACCACCACGTACACCTTCACCGATTATTATTCGTGAGAAACCACCTGCACGTCCAAAATCAGTACCAACAACTGTTATTAAAAGTAATTCATTTCTTTAAAAGATTTTGTTTAGATGATAGATCTCAAATTTCTTTTTCTTTTTTTAATTAGAGGTCATTCCACCACCTCCACCACCACCTCGTAAATTAATTATTGAACGTTTACCAAATCTTCCACCCAAACCACGACCAGTTATTATTGAACGTTGGCTTCCATATCATAAACAAAAACGTCAAGTTATTCATGAAAAAGCTAAACCATTAGAACCGACGGCTCGTATAAAAAATACCATTATTGAATGGCGTCCGCCAGAAGTTGAAGTTGTAAAATATGTGAAAAAATTAGGAGTAGCAGAAGCTGATCCACAACGATATTATACACAACATGGAGATAAATTATATGCAACAGAATTTGTTCAACGTAAATTAACTGAATTAGGTTTACAAGAAGAATTAGCTTTAATGCAAGAACAACAATTATCTGCATCAAAAGAAGAAACTGCCATAGAACAAGCAGATGAATACAATGTTCGACAAATTCTTAATAGGTAAGAAATTTATCGAATATAATCTCTCACAAAAACTTTTCTTTTTCAGTTATAATCATTTATCATCTTCACGACAAAACTATAGTGGAAGTACAATAGCACGTCTTGTTCGATCATCATCTCAATCAGGTATTGTTGATGAATATGGTGATCAACAACAAATGCGTTATGAATATGCATCGGATAATTCTGGACCAGCTACTTATGAAACACATAGTTATACAGTGGATGGTACTTCATCAAATATTCCTATTCTTACGGAAGAATTACTTTTACGATCACATGCAAATAATGGTGGTAAATTTCCAACACATCTTTTAACAAAACTTGGTTCACAAGTATATGAAATGCCACCTGAACAAGTCGAATTAGATAATAATGGAAGACGAATAACAACAACAACAACAACACGTTATTATACAGTTAAACCAGGTGAAACTGGTTATGAATCACTTGTTGATGAAACATCACCACATTATACAGATGAAAAATATGTTCAAATAAAAGCATCAGATTTAAAAGATGTTTTATCTAATTATGATGTTTATTCAAGTAAAGGAGTAAAATTAGAAGGTGAACAATTAAATTATTAAAAATTACTCAGGATAAACTATTTTATGTATTACTTTTATAAAGCTAATAATGTTTTTAATCTGCTTCTGTCTTTTTTTTTTTTTTTATATTTCAAAACTAACCTGCGTGCTGTGTATCCCGAGTAATATAATGATTCTCGTTCTTATCCTTGTGTTTTGTATATAACAGAAAATATTTTTCAATTCTTATTTTAGTAAAGAATAAGACTATTTTAATTTTATGTCTTTTTTTTTGACAACATAAAAAAGAAAGAAGAGAAAAATCAAAGTTGAACTTATTTTTTACGTTGGTGTATGCATGTGCAAGATTTCATTTTAACATACTAATGCTAAGTAAATAGAAAAACAATACATAATCGAACATTTGAAGCAATTAAAATACTAATGCGAATTTCTTTTTTTTTTTCCAGTGAAAACATGTTGCAATATCGATTGACAAACATACATTAAAACGTACCAGAATATTTCTTCTTTTTTGTTTTTTTCATTTTAAAAATTATCAATGTCAAAAGTCGGTTCAGCTATTATTACAAAACAACCTCATAATTTTCAAATTCATAATAGTTTTATTTTAATGGGTAATGAAATATTCTTACATGAATATACATTTGCAGATGACACATGTGGATGTGCTACTACTTATCATACTACACTTACTGATACACGTTTACTTACTCGATCTGAAACAACATGTTGTTGTAATTCTTCTTATGAATCAGATCATTTGGATGCATCTGTTTTCTTACGAGATATAGCTGAAATACGTGAATTGGCAGAAACTCGGCATTGTTGTTCTTTGTTATGTGATAGTTGTTGTGGATGTTGTTGTCGTCCTTCAAGTTGGATGGAAGTACGAGGTTCATTTGGTTCTGAAACTCTTTATATATCGAAAGCAGATAAGGCAAATATACAAGTTGAACTACCGGCGGCAATTGGAAATCATAAACTTATTACGCATCATTAGTTTTTTTTTCTAGTAAAACTTCTTTCTTTTGTTTTTTTTTTTTTTTGGAACTGAACTTTTTCTTTTATTCATCAAGCTCATAAATACATATTATGTTTCTACTTATGCTTGAAATGAGTTTCTTTATTGAAATAAATGCAAATTTCACTATTGAATTTACTGAAGACTATTAGTATAAGAAATGAATTAATACATGTAGAATTGATGACCTTTATTTGAACGACACAATCAATAATTAGTAGAGTATACAGTGGCTTCAAAAATTATCTGCATAATTTTATTTTCAATTCTTTTTTACTTCTATAAGTCTAAATAAGCATCTAAATAGTGATTTGAATAGAGATATTTATTCTTGACAAAAAAATTTTGAAGATGAAAATGATTACAAGTTTCCGTAGGATAGAGTCTCCAAAAATGACGAAAGGTACACAAGTCATATTTTTTCTATGGAAACACCATTTTTGTACCTTCCATACGATTGATATTATCTCGATATTATCAAGAACTGTAAGGTGTTACATTTTGTTTCATATTTACTTAAGTCTTGTCGAATGATGCCTCATAAGTGTTATATCAGACAATATTGCATCTATTTGGCTTTGAAATGCATAATGAAGTTTTTTTTTTTTCATCAAAATGTCAGAAAAATGAATCCAAGTAATTGGCATATTAAAGGATGAATTGGAAACATTAAATTTCATACAATAAGACTGTTGATGTGAAAACCTTTAATACTATGAATGATGTTACAAAACAACAATCATAATTAACAATTATAATGAATATTATTCAATTAACATGATAAGTCTTCTATAAAATTTATGTAAGCAAAAAAAACGTACAGATATTATGTAAAAAATTTTTCTCAAAAAATATATATCATGAAAATATTCACTTAAGATTAGTATAATAACCTTATCATTTGATTACATTTATATGTTTTGAAGTGTCTTTTTTTCAAATGAAAGTTCTAATCGACCTCGAAAAAAAAGTATATACTTCGATCAATGAACTTCATATAGGTTTGTCATAGATATCATCGATTTATGGAGAAAGATCAAAAATTTCGAATCATTCTGTATTATTTAGGGTGATTCAAATAGTATTCTATGTATGAATTCTAGAAACTAAAAAAAACTAAGGTTTTTGTTTTTCAGAAATCCTATCCGAGGAAAACTAATAATCATTTTCATGTTGAAATATTCTTGTTGGAAATAAAATTCTCTATTCAAATCACTGTTTACATTTATATTAACGTTTATGAAAGTAAAAAAGTTGAAAATAAAATTTTTCGAATAAATTCCAGTTAAACAGCGTATAGATATAGAGAGGATAGAAGCTTTATCTTCATTCACATCCACACCTACAGTAAACCTATTACTCTTCTATATAAATCTAAGTAAAATATACAAATTTGAAAAGTTTATGTCACACATTTTTATTCAATTCCTTCATAAATCTAATTTGATGATCTCTTCGTAATGATGATTATATCATGATATAGTCTATTGTATTCTCTAACAAATATCCAACTAAAAATTTGTTTCAAAAAAATGTCTCAACAAACTATTTTCTAACCTGACATAGATATCAAAACACTATAATATTTCGAGTAAATCTGGTCAATAAAATTTTTTTGTATTGTTAGAAAATTTTCACGAAGACATTTTCATATCGACAACTATACGATAAGACATCAATAATAAACAGTATTTATATTGTTCACTTTGATTTGAAAATGTATCTTAAATTTTTTTTTTTCGAACACAGTCCTCTTTCTAACTATTAACTAATGGAATTTAAAAAATAATTTCATCAAATTGAAGTTCTCTAGAGCAAGAAAAGAAAAAGAAAACATGATTTCTTCAACATATATTTATTTATTGGTACAATGAAATCAAAATTTAACAAAAAAAAACAATCATTACCATATAGCTAAACAAGAAACTAAATTTTCACATCTATTAAAATACTTACTTCAATCCATCGTTACAATAATGCATAGAGAAAAACATAAAATTCTATTAACAATAATTTTTTTAATCATAATAATACAAAAATGAAAACTCAATAACAAATATTAGTTTACTTTTTTTTTTTTTTTAGAATGGCTCATCTATCTAGCGCACCACATGTCACATCTCAACCACAACAATATGATATTCAGAGTAATTTTGCTATGTTTTCTGGTGAACGTTTACTTTATCATTGCGAAGAGAAAACAGGATGCTGTCAGCTTGGTGATGCTTATTATACAAGTCTAACTGATATTCGTTATGTATCACGCGTAGAATTATGTATTTTTTGTGGTTGTTGTTGTGACAGACCTTATAATGATACGTCTATATATTTACGGGATGTTGCTGAAGTACGCGAAGTACGAGATAATTGTTGCTCTTGCGAATTCTTTACAAACGGATGTTGGACATGTTGTTGTTGTTGTTGTTTGACGACAAAGCGTCTTCAATTACGTGGATCATTTGGTTCACATATGGTTTATATGGGTTACAAAGATACATCAGAATTTGAAACTGTGATTGCAGAAGCCGTAGCTCAACATAAACTTCCTAGTCGAAAATAAATTCTATGAAACTATTAAAAAAAAAAATACCTCTTTGAATTGTTTAATAAAAAGGAGAAGAAAAAAAAATATTTCTGAAGAATTTCAGACTAAATCCAACGAAATATTAATGTTCAAGAAGAAGAAAATCTTTCTTCATTGTCGTTTATCTAATTGAATATATGCTTGATTGGTGCGGATGAAGATTTAAATTTCAAGATTCTATTGTCTCATGAACAAAGAATCGTCTCAAAAATTTCAAAATTATTTTGATAGTTTTTTTTTCCTAATAGCACTATAAAAGATCCAACGTTCAACACTGACATAGTATTCTTACTGTCTTTCAATGAAGCATCTAAAATTTCTTTCATTGAACTCTTATATTTGAAAAAAAAGAGCAGTTAACAGTAATATTATCTAACGAAACTTAAGGATACCCATTTGTTTCTTTTTTTTTGATCATTTCATGTTCTTGAAGACACTTTTTCAGAATTTGTTACGACTTGGTGATATTAAAGATTTGTATAATAAACCTACTGAAAAAATTATATAGTCAAGATAGATTCTATAGTATATAGTTATTCAGTATTATGTGGCAAGATTTTTAATAGAAGTTTTTTTTTTTCTTTTTTATGACAAATAAATCAAAAAAAAGTCCTGAATAACAAAAGCAAAATGAACCGAATAAGAATTCTAACGTTAAATGTGTAAACTGAGAAACCATCGTGCTAACCACTAAGCCATTTAGTAGTTTTAGTTAGTTAGTTGTAAAAATTTTAGAACAGTGATTATCGAAAAAAAACAGATTAGTTGCTGAATTATTTGATGTTAAGGGTAGTGATGTAATCAAGGGTAAACTATATCAGACATTGTCTTATCACTAGAACAAATTCACGATCTTCTGGTCATGCAAGTAGTTAAAAAGTTTGTATAACAAACCCTACGATACAATGATATTTTGACAATAAATTCAATAAATAAAATTGATCCAACGATAAATAAATTTATATCGAGATATATTTAGATTAATCTTATAAAAGATATCCTACATCCATCATATACGGAATAGAAACAAATATCCTGAAACTTGAAAAAGATCCAGTCAAGTTCCAAAAATAAATGCTAATAGTCTCTCCTCTGGTTTTCCATAGGACTACCTCCAGTCCCCATATAGCTTCGTTCAATCGGGCTGAAAGTTTCACTATTAATACATGACAGTATTTTCCAGAATTAAGACTAGTCGTTGTTACTTTTGACTTTCCTTCTTGGGTCCATAAGATCCTAAATGCCAAGACTCCGATTTTGGCACCGAACATTTACGTACATCTCTCATAAAAACAAAAGAAAGTGAGATTTTCGGAAAAACTTAAAATTATCTCTGAGATATAGTCTTAAGTATCTCCAAGAAAAATGTTTTCAGTTCGAGTAGATAAAGTTTGATGAGTGATCACAAGCAACTAGGATACTACGTTATCAATATAAAAGTTTTAAAGAAAAAAAAAATACAAATATTCAGTTTAAAATTTTGTTTCTTCAAACATATATCGTCTGCTTTTCCGTGCTCTATTTGTAGTAAAAATTTCAGCTTGTTTAATTATACCGTCTTCTAGAACAAGCAACGGTGAAAACAAGAGAGAGAACCTTATAGGGTACCCTTTCTATAAATATAATAGAATAACAAATTCTGATATAAATTAGAAAATTAAAACAAAGAAATCATCATAAAATTTTTTTATACAACAAAAGGCTTTAATTATCAACATGTTTTGAATTATCTTAGCATTGTTTCATATAATCAATTTAAATCGTTCCCTATAAAAAAAAAAGGAGAGCAAACGAATCATGTCGCTCAATTAAGCAATTTTTTTATTTCACTCAAAACAAATCAATAGTAATTATTATTTTCTCTTCTATTATTTATTTAATTCATTCATTCATTTTGTATATTTTAACAGATTATCTACTAATTATAAATAACGTTAGTTACTAGATGAAACTATATATTAGTGACACTGTTATAATACTCAAGTTTACTATTAAGAAAATGAACACTACATTGCACATCAGTGAACAACATTAGTCTAATCTAATACTATATGGACGCAGCAGGTCAGATTAAAGTTTTGAAAGTTCAATTTGATTTAATGACTAGTAGCTCTGGCTCAAATTAATTGTTCAAAACATGCAAAGATTCTTTTATTCACTAAAAAAACATATTAAATTATAAGTCCATAATCATTCATTTGTATAGAATTATTTTATACAAATCAAAAAACATAATAAACATTACCAAGAATAATTTCAATCACTATCGATTAGGTAATAAATCAATTATATTAACAAAGAAAGTTGTGATTATTTTAACTGAAACATATTGATGTCTATTCATTATTGTTTCCTTTTAATATTTTAATTAACATTTTCTGTTTTATTCTTTAAATAAGTTAACAAAATAAATTTAGAATAATTATAAGTCGTCGTGAGATAATGACAATCATCACTAACATATATGAAAAACAAAAACCAATCATTTCTAATCACTTTATGACGTGTTGAAATAACTTAAATGATATTAATGTGCGATGTGTTGATAGATAGCTATTCACATTCATTTATTACTTGTCATCATTGTTCGTTGAACTATATTCCATTATCAAGTTAATTATTGAGTAGAGTATAAACGTAGAGTAATCGATGATCTCGACTCGACTATTTTCAGAGACATTGATATAGAATAGATAAAATTGTTTTTTTTTTTTTCTAGTATAATGAATTTTGATCATATCCTTATCGTTTTTCTATCAATATCTCATTATAATATTCTCTTTGTTTATAATAGATATACGAAAATAGATAATGACTCGCTGTTTTTTTTTTCGAGTAATTGGCGATTCTATAGTTCATTTTAATGTGAAATCAAATGAAAGGCATTTATTAAATGTGATAATGATACGTGCAAAATACTTCTCTCATGAGTCAGACACATATTTATATTTCATATAAGTACAAAGAAGTCGTTCTTTCTTTTTCTCTCTATTCAATTGATTGGTATGTATAAATACATATCTTCACAACGGTGAAAGGTATATGTATATATATACGTAAGTTCAATTGAGTTAAACACAATAACAATATACAATATATTTTACAACATCATCGATAAATACTTTTTACTCACGTATTTGTCGATAAATTTTCAAGTATGCTCTACAATATATATGAAAATAATACTATTGTATTTATATATGTATATGTGTAAAAAATTTCTTTATTGAAGTAAATCTAAATTTGATGTTATATTTAATTAAAAAGTATTAATTTTTCTTTGACTGACTAAATAAATGACTTTTTTTGTTTTGTGTTGTGTGTTCGATGTATGTTTTCTTTGATATAGATAGGCAGACATATATCAACTTGTGACCTATTTTGTTAGTGTTATTCTCACCGATCAGCTCGTGATTTATTATTTGACAAGAGAGGTTTTGAGAAGTAAATGAACGTATATACATCGACATGCTATGTCGTCTCATGTTCATAATTTGATTTTATTTCAAATTCAATCGATAGATTTTGTGTTGTTTCCTTTTGTAAATAGGAGAAAGATTATTATTAATTTTTTTTTTATCCTTTATGATTGTTACATATAGTTCATTTTCTTCTCTATCTTATCCCATTGACAATTGTATAATCAAAAAACCTTACAAATCATTTATAAACAAATATAAATTTTTAAAACAGGTAAAAGAACTTTATTATATATATATACCGATGATTATATTCAATAGAATAGAAAAAAAAATCTTTTTCTTTTTTGAAAATTTATTTGAATAATATTTTCTTTTTAGATTTTGCTTTGCTTATTTACAATGAAATAATGAATAGACAAACACTTCAACGATCTCAATCAGCAAAATATCGAGGTCCTTCTTCAATTACTAATAATTGTTTAAATACAAAAATTTCATCATCATTACCTGATGCATTTATTTCATCATTACGTCAATTATTTTCTATATTGGATAAAACAAATTGTGGTTATATACCTTATAATGTATTTAAACGTTATTTTGATTGTTCATCATTAACATCAGATTTTTTAAATCATCTTGAAATCGAATCAAATTCTAATAATCATTTAATAACATTTAATTCACTTATAAATGTTATTGAACGATCATTACCATTAACAAATCATTTATCATCAATTCGAATTCCAAAAATTATACGTCCATTAAATCGTTCAACAAGTTTTTTAGTTGTTTCACCTATAGAAGAAAAAATTGAACGACAAATTCCAATTATTTATCGAAATTCTAATGAATCGGAAGAAATTAATTCTCATGTATCAAATCCGATATATTTTACAAAACAATTACAACGAAATAATGAAATTAATTTTTCTATGGTTTGAATAATAATAATAATTCATTTTGTTATAATTAAAAAAAAACTTTAGATACGATCTTTAAAACAATATGAAATTGAACATAATCTTCTTGTTGAAACATGTGATACACTTGATCGTGTTAAACTTTACTTAACTAATTGTCTTTTTGAAATGAAAGATAAACAAAAATCATATTGTCATTATTTAACAACAGCAGAAGTTTGTCTTGTATAAAGCAAATTTTCTTTTGTACGTGTTTTTTTTTTTTTCTATTTTTCTTTAGACAGTAGGTATTGAATCAGAATCAATGTATAATCGAGATTTAGTTGCTGATTTATTTAAATTAGCAAATATAGTTATTCAACAAGTTAATTATGATGTGAAAGTAATTAATTTTCTTCAAAATTTTTATTTAATTTTGTTTTTTGTTTTTTTTAAGAAGTCATCAGATCGTTCATCATCAAATTCAATTTCATCATCATTTAATGGAATAAATAATCAATATGAAAAACAATTAAAAGCAAAAGATGATTATATTAAACAATTAGAAAGTGAAAAACGTATTTTACTTAATGAGATTATTGAAATGAAATATCAACCAGGAACAATTATACCAATAAAAATCTCCTAAAAACAAACATTGTTCTCTTTTTTTTCTATATTATAATAATTGTTTATTTTATGTAGTTTTGAGAACAAAATGCTTTTCACAAGTGTTCGAAGAATTTTGTTCTCAAACAGAAAGTCAAGCAAGTCGAATAGAAACTTTTTTCATAACTAAACCAAGACTTATTGTCAAAGTTTATTAATTATCGATAGAATAGAAAATGACTTTGTAAAGACAAACAATATAAAATTTAGCAAATATTTGTAGAATTTTCTAATTTCTAAAAAAGCAAATATTTTAAACAAAATATGGTTCTGATCTCAGCCAGATCGAAACTGAGACTTCCATTAGAAAACGATATCTTTTTATAGTCGTATAAACCTATCGTTGAATCCAAAGAAAAAAAAAAAGTTGAAATCAGATTAATTTTTGGTTTTTCGTGTTGAAATATCAGTATCATATATGTTTTTAATAAATATGGCTAGGATGGTTCTAGCGCCGAAGGAACTGAGATCACATCGATTGCAACTGCTTATCTCTAGAACCAACTCTTATACATACTAAAACAAAAATAAATTAATGAAGAAACGAATTTTCAATCCAATCAAAACCATTTGCAAAGTAAAAAAGTAACTACGAAGTATTATTTCTTATCAAATTTATAATTGAAATTTCTCTCTTTTTGTTTTAGATTTTCAATATTGTTTTTTCACACAGACTTTCTTCATTTTCAAGTCAATGATCCGACTTCTGAATCTGTAAGTTTCTGTAGGAAAGATACCGTTTCCAAGTGGAAATCTACAAAAAATGATAAAAACTCGGAAGGAGACCAGTGATTGTCAAATTTTTCTAATCTCGAGCAGAATCAGTCATCAAATCTAATTACCGGATTCCTCGAGTTTGTTGGTTTGTATTTCTTAAGCTGACTTCGTTCTTTTTGGACATAAAAAATTAGAAATTTCAATCGAATCAAACTCGTCAATTTTATCCTCCCAAATTCCTTTTTATCCGTATTATTGAAGTAAAACTCAAAAAGTCATGAGTTTTTTTTTTGTTGATTTTTCAAGTCCATCGATGATCTTGCCATGAATGTACTAACAGACACAAAAAACAACTCATTTTGTCCTTATTATTTCTATTTCTAACATACATATGATAGAAAAGATTAATCCAGATGAGTATAACGTAGTCAGATCTATATGTTATTTTTCTATATATTATTCTTTTTTTTCTCTGCAGGGCAAATTTTTCATAACAGCATGCAAATAATTATATATTTGTCTTTGTTTTGTTTGATCAATTTGTTTTCTATGATACTCTATTATTTCGAACAAAGTATTAATCGATGATTTGTCAAAAGAAACGAAGTACCTATTTGTACTGTATTTGAAATTTTTATTAGAAGCCTTGGATTGGACTGATTTTCATAAATTGCAATATACAGAACACAATGACTCATATCGAGTTCTTTTAATTCATCCATTTAAAAAAATTTTTCAACAGAGAATTTTTTTTTCTTTCTCAATTTTGATAGAATAGTAGATAAGAACTAGATAGAAATCAATTAAATTTATTAATTTTTCAAAAGGGGTCGCTAATAATATAACCGATTATAAAAAAGAATTCTGTCTCGTCTGTACCGAGAAAAGAAAAAAATAATGTAGTTCCCATCGATCTTTATAAATATCTCGTCCGTGCTATATATCCGTCTCTTTTTTTCTTTCTTATATTACAGATTCCACAGTTGTTCTGCATCTAGAAGTAAACATGACTGATGTTAAAATTGGTATCAATGGTTTTGGTCGTATTGGTCGTCTTGTTTTCCGATGTGCACTTGAAAAAGGCATAAAAATTGTCGGAGTTAATGGTTAGAATATATAGTTTTTTTATTTATAATTATTTCTAATTGAAATATGTTTTTATAGACCCATTCATTCCTGCTGACTATATGGTTTATATGTTTAAATATGATTCAACACATGGTCGATTTAAAGGTGATGTTTCAACAAAAGGAGGAAAACTTATTGTTGATGGACATGAAGTTGCCGTTTTTACTGAGTAAAGATATTTTTATTTTAAAAATCAATTATATAAGTTTGGTTTTGTTTTTAGAAAGGATCCATCAAAAATTCCATGGGGTCAACTTGGTATGTATTAGTTTTTTTTTTTTTTTTAGACTTTGAACTTTTAATGAGGAATTTAAAATTTTATTTTTTTAAATGAAAGGTGTTGAATATGTTGTGGAATCTACTGGTGTATTTACAACAGTTGACAAATGTCAACCACATTTACAAGCTGGTGCAAAAAAAGTTGTTATTACAGCACCATCAGCCGATGCACCAATGTTTGTTATGGGTGTTAATGAAGAAAAATATACTGGTCAAGAAACAGTTGTTTCAAATGCATCTTGTACAACAAATTGTTTAGCACCACTTGCTAAAGTTGTTCATGAAAAATTTGGTATTGTTGAAGCTTTAATGACAACTGTACATTCATATACAGCTACACAAAAAACTGTTGATGGTCCATCAAATAAAGTATGTAATATTAATCAAAAAAATTTATTTTTTTTGAAATTTTTTATTTTATATAGGATTGGCGAGGTGGACGTGGAGCTGCTCAAAATATTATTCCATCATCAACTGGAGCTGCTAAAGCTGTATGTTTGAAAGTTTTGAAAACAAAAAAAAAATATAAACATACATCTTTATATAAATAGGTTGGAAAAGTTATTCCTGATTTGAATGGAAAATTGACAGGCATGGCTTTTCGTGTTCCAACACCTAATGTTTCAGTTGTTGATCTTACTGCTCGATTAAACAAAGGCGTAAGTGATTCATTAGGTTTTTTTTTGTTTTTTGATTGATCCTATTTTATATAGGCTAAATATGCTGAAATTTGTGCTGCAATAAAAGAAGCTGCAAATGGTCCAATGAAAGGTATTTTGGCTTATACAGAAGATGAAGTTGTTTCAACTGATTTCATTGGTGATACTAATTCATCAATCTTTGATGCTAAAGCAGGCATTTCACTTAATGATAATTTTGTAAAACTTGTTTCATGGTATGTTTTTATTTAATAATTATCATATATTTTATTTTTTTTTTTTTAAAGGTATGATAATGAATATGGTTATTCACATCGTGTTGTCGATCTTATTCAATTTATGGCAAAGAAAGATCATGGACATTGAGTTCATGAAAAACAAATTTATCATTGAAGCGTTTAACCTGAATAGTCTCTATTATTTAGTCTGTTTAGTGAACCTTTAAAGTCTAGCATAGTTTCTCTGCAATATTGAATAATTCTAGTTCATGTGTTTCATCATTTAGTCATCTATGAAGAAACAAATAAAGAAAAAAAGAGTCATAAATATCTTCTTTTGTTTTTATTAACCAAATAAATTTAGATGTATATTGTCAATGAAATGTGTATGTCAAATGAAGAATATCTTGCCAAAAAAAATATTTGGTTTGCTCAATAAGATTCATAGAAATTCAAAAGGAAACAATATGGTTATTCAATTAAATAATTAATCAATTTTTTATAGAGAACAATCGAGCTTATTTAATTATTGTCTATCATTAATTGCCAATGAGAAAAAAAACTAAAAAGTTTTGTTACGTTCAAATCGAAGAGATAAATTGATAGACTACATGAATATTACAATGAGACATATTTTCTTTCTTTTTCTATACTTGACTTATTAATTGAATTCGAATAATATAGGTGTTACACTATTAATTCAAACACTCGCTTTTCTGTTTTGTTAATCAAATTATTAATATAGAACACACTATCAATATTCGAGCTTTATGAAAGAATGAATCTGTATTATTTCTCATTACGACTAAAATATTTTCATATTCTGTAAATCATTTTCTTTGGTCGAATAAAATCCAACTAGTACATCGTTTTGTTGATATAAATACAAATTGATGACATGTAATCGTGTATTTTTCAACATGTATTTGTAATGATATAATTCATGTGTAGTGATGAAAGAGCATGTTACCTATTTCATCAAATCACTGTCAAAGGCTTTGCTGAAACAGAGGATGTCACTATTAAATATATTTTCGTAAAGAAATATCTGTTCTTTTTTCAAAGAAAAGTGTTTCAAGAATTTATAATTTATTAAATAGACGTTCAAAAGATTTTAGCAGATATCGATCGTTTGTCTTTTTCTTTTCAAGAACTATTTCTAGCTGAAATGAGAAAGAAATGAATACTATACATTAAATGTTGTTGTCCTCGGTTCTCTTTATAACACTGTTTGAATTCAATTCAATGTTTTTTCTACCGTACCTCCCTTAATACAAATGGTTTTATGTAGAATCAACCATTTTTCTATCAATCGGTCGTATCTTCCACTTCTGTTAAAGAATCATAAAGGTAACAAAATATATATGAAATAATAATAATCAGAGCTTTCAAAATAAATAAATCTAATATCTTTTCTACTGAGACAGCATTATGTTTGCATGCTATTTCTCAGAAAAATCAATTCAATAGTCAGAACTTATCAAATTCCTGCAAAATCCTGTATGAATATTGCAGTAAAATAGTCTGTTGAAATTTAATAGAATCCTACCATCAGTATTTTATTCGATTCTAGTATTCTAATGCAACCGTTTCATGCAGCAGAATATCATTGAAAGGTAATAGGACACCATGAACATTGATCACAACTAAAAAAAAAAAAATAGACGCTTGTACATTCACACAACTAGCTTAGACCAAATAGCATAGAGTCAAATATTATTAACTATTACTACAGGTTTTTGTTGAATCTTCATTCCTTCGGTTTCTTACTGATTCTATCAATAGTATTGCTATTAGAGACTTAACAATTGTTCAATCCTATAGATTACAATTATATAGCGTTCAGATTTTTCAAACGAAGTCCTTCGTCAGAAAATATCAACTTGAAAGTTTTGAGAAGCTACTTAGAGATTCAAAGTTATTGATCTTAAAGATTTTTCATCAGAATTCATTAAAAAAATCTGTTATTTTCGCAAAATAGGTTCTATCCATTGAACCTTATGAGTGCTTGTTTATTTCTACATCAACGCATTCTTTGTAACAACTAAATATTTTCGATGTACTTTTTTTTTATCTCTGGAACATTGAGTCGTGGAATGACTGATGAAAGGTTTTGAGAAAATTTTATTATTTTTTTCAAAGCATGCATTGAAACAAACAGGAGAATGGTCTGAACGGTTTTTAAAAAGAACGACACATTGTAAGACATGTGTATCTCAGAATTATGATAATAGACCATAATGAATGGTTGTAAGTACCAATAAAACTAAACATTAAATTTGTTGTTTAAAAAGTAGTATAGTCGATGATATATGACGTTGAATCGTTCTTGGCAAATTTTAGATCGGGTCTTTTGATAACATACTGACTAAATTTTTATTTCTTTTGATTTTGATATGCATACTAGTGTTATGGAAACGAAGACGAAATAGTCAACAAAGCTTTTCAAGGAAAAAAATTGATCAGAATCGATATAAACTAAAGAAAATAGATGAAGCACTCAAGAATAACTTCTAAAACATAAGAACCATTTATTTTTCTTTCCCTATCAGTAACAGGCAAAACATTAAATTCGTTTTGTCAAGCCTGATCATTATTAAATTGAACTTTTATGCAGAATTCATGAATACTCTTATTTGAAATCTATTTTGACTTAGCAAGCTTCGAGTAAAACAAAACGTAAAGATCTCTAAGCTTATACCTCTTGAATATAGGTTTTTATCGATGTTTATATTTCTTTGAATTTAATGTGCTCTATAGCTGATATATAAAGTGCAAATTTCTTATACTATTAACTTTTGTTGAGTTATGTTCTAACCAAAAAAAAAAATGAAAAATTTTCGAAATTTAATAGCCCAACAATTTAAAATTTTGACACTTCTGTTCATAAAAAAGCTTTCGAAAATTATTTTTCAATGTTGACGTAGAAGCCATTTGTGAAAATGACTACTCTGCATAACTAAAAGAAAACACAAGTAAGTATCGTGTTCTTTAATACAAACAGAAATTTGAATTAGTTTTTGCATAAAAGAAAATTATTTGATAATTTAACGCCTAATTAAAAACTAATGTTGTCGAGAACATACATCCATGTATAAATATAGATGCGTTCATCTTTGTATATCTCATTCAATGACGCAAATATGATATCCTCATATGCTGACTCAGGAAGCAATCTGGTAATGCAAAAAACAAATCGAACACTATGGAAACTCGCAAAAAAACATTTAAAAAATGAGAAACTTAAATGAATTTTTTAGAAACTAACAAGAGTGGCTTCGAAATTCAAGTCCCAATATTTCTATGACAGTAAAATATCGATTCTTGCTGTACATTCTTCAGCATTCTAATGCTACGATCCTTATTAAATTGGAATATTGAATTCTTTATTAACTTCATCACTTAGATTTCCATCAGTTTTTATTGATTGGTCAAATTCATCTACCCACGTTCTTCAATGTCTGCATGCTTATAGCAATCAATATTAGAACCACGTTTGAGAGCACACTAACAAGGTGCATTCGTATTCTTTATACTTATGTGCGTCTACATGTCTTCATTCTCTTTCATGTACGACGGATTAGCCATTTCATCGTTTTGCACACATCTGCATTATTCCTTTTCTTCATTCATGAGAATCATAGAAATTCTTACATTCTTTCTTGACCCACGGTTTTTATTGATTGTACGATTGAAGAATAGACGTATAGTGTCATCTTCTCAAGTTGATAATGACTTAAGGTCAAGTACGAGAGATGCAATCAAATTATTTTCGTTTTTATCTGTGCCTACTCCTAGAACCTGTTGGGTTTGAGTTCCAAAGTTTTGGATCTGACGGAATCTATTGGTCTGAGAAATGAGTAAGACGCACTAGTAGCTGAATATAAAAAGCTGAAAAAAGTATGTTGTATTTTCGGAGCAACTATCCAATGCCGATAGGAAATTTCATTGAAGTTATCAAAGTATAGTACGACTGGGTTCAGATTAGGGTAAGAAAATTTTTGGATCCGACAGGCTCCACCTGCTTCTCTCTCTCTTCTCTTTGTCTTGTTTTTTGTTTACATGTATAGATAGATTTCATAATGGAGTTCATTTCAACAAGATAAAAACTCCGAAAGTTGATAATTTAGTAAGCAGAGAATACTAAGTAAAGATGAACGAACTCTGCTGAAATTCTAAGTTTATCTATCGAACTTATTCAAATATGACCGAAAACAATCAATCTAATATGATATTATGAAATGAAGAATTGTCTGATGAAAATAATCTCATTTACAGATGAACTATATTGAATAATCATTAAGAGAAATGACTTCATGTAGAAAACATTTAAAAATATGTTTTGAATATTGATCATTCATATGAATCATTGTCCAATGATAATGCATTCACAATAATAAAAAAAATGCAGTAAGTATTCGTTTTTTGCTAATACAGTAAATTTTGTGTTTGCTCTTTATTGTAGTTACTTCTAAAGAAAAACAAATTATTCAAGAGTTTTTGTTTTTATTCAACGAGTAACTATTTGTTTATTTCTGTATTTTTAAAACCATCAATGATTTACAACTGTCAACAGAAGTAAGAAAAATCGTTTGTTGTTTGTATTATATTCTCTCACTGTACGTAGTTGAAAGAATGAAAAAGAGAAAAAGCAAACCCTCGAGAGAATCACAGTGTCGAGAAAAAAAAATACAATTAAATTAATCTATATATATATATACAAAGAATAAACAAAGAAGCAGATCTATCCAAGCTAAACATTCGATCAACAAAAAAAACTAACTAAAAGTGCAGGTAGTAGTCATTCTTTATAGACTATTTGAGCTGGTCAAAATGCTATACGATTTATTTTGTCTACAAAAAAAACAAAACGTCTAGGTAACAAAAGTATTACACAACTGCAACTGAAAAATTGTTGTCTTCCGACTATTATAAGTCTTATGTAGGCTGTCGCAGAAAAATAAACGGTACAATTTTCAATTACTACTTATGATTTCTTTCGAGATGTATAAAGTAAAGATGAAAAAACAAGTAAAATATTATGCAATTCTGTCGAATTTATTGTAAATAATTATTTCATTATGAAATAGTTATTTTCACTGAACTTTTAAAACATGATAAAATATCAATCGAAATGTTATAGTATCCTTTATTACTTTTATATTTTGTAGAAAAGAAAACACAATGCGTATGTCAATGCGTCGTCCGACAATTGTCTCTCCAACTTCACACATACGATCTTATAGTTTTGGTCCATTTTTAGCTTTGATTTTAACCGGTTGCTTTCTATCTTTCGTCGCAGGTTACATAAATACTATATGTATTGTTAGTCTGTTACAATCATCAATAACTGGTTTCACAGGTACTACATCAAAAATGGTTATTGAGCTGGCACAACGCGATTTTATCAAAACGTTACACTACTCATTGATGGTAATTTCGTTCGTATTAGGAAGTTTTACTTCTGGGGCGTTAGTAGGAGGCTCATCATTTCGGATTCAACGATCATATGGTGTGGTACTAATTGTAGAATCGTTTGCACTTGCTTTTGCGTTTTTACTTGAAGTAAGTAAAGAAGAAACTTTTAAACTCTTGCAAAGATCTATCATATAAGTCTTTAGCAATTGAAATACTGTTATTTTTTTTAAATATTTTTAATCAAACATAATTGATTCCGGATACCTCTAAGAATTTTATTTAAATGATGAAAGAAACAACATATATTCTAAGAAAAAAAAAATGTATTGCACAAAATCCTAAAATGATTTTTTTTTCGTCAAGATATTCAGGAGAAACTTTTTTAGGTTTTGTTCGTTACGTTTTGTATAACGCGATCTAAAAGAAGTATTGAAGTAAAGACACCTTAGCAACAGTCTATGATAGACGTAACAGAAGTTGTTGATGTATGATCAAAGACCACATATGAATAACGACTCGTTATAATATATGCGAAATTGCTCAATAGCATTTCTGCAGAACCAAGTTATAGGATGATCAAGAAATGTTTCCAAAACTAGATAGAATATAGTCACTTATTTGTGATTAGCAACAAGAGCTACAACGTGTCTTACATTTTAATTCCATAGAAATTACACTAATAGCATTTCTATTTAAAGTCTTGCAAATTTTAGTTTATTTTTTTCTTCAATAGAGATCTAGACAAAAGTCATATTTGATATAGATCTATAGTCGTGATATCATTTCACTAACTTTTAAATCGACAGAGTTTTGAAAATAATGTTTTCAATAAATATTTTATTTATAGGAAATTGCATTGAAACTCAAAGAAACTTCTATACCTTTGCTATTGAGTACATATTTAGTATCTCTTGCATGTGGCCTTCAAAATGGTATGTGTACAACGTTTTCTGGTGCCGTTATTCGTACAACACATATGACAGGCGTTCTCACAGATATTGGTCTTGTTTTGGGACAAGCACTTTTTTGTTCACGAACTCGTAAACATCTCTGGAAATTAAAAGTTTTAATTCCTTTATATGGAGCCTTTTGCTTGGGTGGTGTGAGCGGATGGTTTGCATATAAACTATTACTTTTCAAAGCAATACTCTTATTATCTGCAATTATTGGAACTCTAGGTATTGCACATGTCTGCTATTGCAAAATATATCTTATGCATAAAAAGAAACAAATTAATTTGAAACACTGGAAAAGAAATAGAAAGAATAAAATACCTCCTCCAGAGATAGTAATTCATGAGAACCCGAATAATCTAATCCATACACAAGAAAATGGTGTCATCCAAGAATCCAATGAAGAACAACAAGATGAGATAGAAGATACAACAGCAAATCAAACGAGTCTCAATAAAAAAGTTATAACTATTGGTGATACAACAGTTGACATTATAACACCGTAACAATGTTTCTGAATTAATTTAACTCATAATCGAGCAGCAAACTTCGATTTATTTAAAACAAATGTTTTTTTATTTTTATTTTACTTGATTCTTGTATATGTCGTCTATTGAACAGAGTCTTGTTTCAGTAAAACAAAAATAAAATGAGCTATTGAGTTATAGAGAAACATTTTTAGCAGTATTCAATGCATATTCTATGATTAAATAACAGATGGTACAGATTAAACGAGATACTTTCAATTTCTTTTTTGGGGAGGAGAAAGCAACTCAGATATACTTTCAAAAAATCATTTGTTGAATAAATTTTCGCTGTACCCAACTATTCTATTCGTTTTTCAAGTATACTGTGTTTTTATGTTAGATCAAAATTTAAAATGTTCATATTTAGTCAATTGTCTAACATCAACGGTTAAAATAACAGAAAAACCATGCAAATTATTTGTAACAACAGTTTAATGAAATGGTAAGCATGCTACAAAATTCAGCATCTTTTGATGTATGTTTCAGAACTTTAGAAGAAATATGTGCAAACATAATCATAAAGTCAAAACTAGAAAAAAGTTTTTTTTCTGACAGATGATCATGTGTTTCTTGTTTTTTTTTTAATTCTATACAATCTTATTGTTTGTAGTTTTCAACTTATCAGTCACAAAATTTTATTATTCTGAACTAGATCGTCGCAAAAGAAGGATTCAATAAATCTGAATTTTTAAATAATATGATACATATTTCGTTTAGTAATATATAAGCAGTATCTCCATTTATTTGAGTTAAGACAAAACTACAAGATAATAAATCTTACATGTGATAACTATCGAGAAACTGCTACCCATATATCAATTGGTATAATGGTCTTTATACGACAGTATTTTTTGAAAATGTTGTATCATACTTTATTCCATCAAAACAAATGAATGGTTTAAAAAACTGTTAAAAATGACAGAATCGAATTGTTTTCAATACATTATAATAATGGTGATACATCTGAATCGTCTGTACTAGCCAGAGAGCTCCAATATTTGCTCCAGTTATAAGATAAATTTTGATTATAGATGACACTTCGAAAATTTTTATTAATTTAAAATATATTTTTATCGTTTAATTTGAACTCTTTCTAATAAATATTTCGAATTTGGATAAAAAAACACTATCTACAATTGTTTATAACTGAAACCGAAAGTCGTAAGCAATACTGAGGTTTCTTATTATTATCGTGGTATACTGGTGGTGGTGCAAACGAACATGCAATATGGACTATCCTGAGTGTAATAGATTTTTATTGAAAAATGTTCTTGCAATATTATACGTTATGTAAATTCCATTGTCTCTTCTTTTGAAGGAGATCATCACGAGTTTTGATATTTCTAAAACTTTTTGTTCACGAAAATGACGACATTCTATTGAACGGACATCAAAATAGTTGTATAATGTTGAGGTACTTTCATTTTGCAATATTGCCACAGCGTAGTAAAATTGGTGACTTTTTATAATGTCCTTTATTCTTATGAAAATATACCGACAATGCATAAGAAACATCTCTATTTGATAATTTTTGTAATTCTTCAGTGCAAATATTTAATAAAGAGAGAATCTTTTTTTGCATCAGAATTTATTATCTTTCGTGAATCATTTTCAACAGGGCATAGTCACAAGTTGATTATAGATATAAATATAATTCTTATCTATCATCGTAAGTCAAGTCTTTTTTTTTTTTGTAGACATATTCTATAAAATTAAAGCAGTTGTCCTTTTTGTTATCATTTTGTTCTATTACATTTAAGCAATGCTTAACTTTTATACTATTCTTTTTTCTGTCGCAGTAATATTTATATTCGAAATAAAATTCTGCAATGCAAAAGTGTCATGTACAAATTGCCAATCAATTTCTTTTAATCTAACGACGGATAAAGATTTAAATACTGATGGATGTGCAATGGAAGAAGATGAAGTATGTTCACTTAGTTTACGTATTGATTATACAAATAGCAATAATTCCTTTGCTCTTATTGGTGGTTCTCCAGAAGCAGTACTAGTTTTGACTAATGGAGAACCTCAAGTAAATGAAATAACATTCATTTGGTTTAATGAATTACGTGTTCAACGTATGGCAAGTATATTATGTTTTTCTGTAGCAAGTTGTGGTTTAGATCTAATCAAACAAATATATAGAGAACAATGTTAGTTAATTTCAAAAATAAATTTGAATGAAATTCATTTTTTTATTTCTTTAGTTCGGCCCTTTGACTATAAAACAATTCGAAATACATTGATCGATCAATTATATTCAGCATCAACATCCAGTTCGAGTTTAACATGTGCAGATCCATCAGGTTCATCAATTGCATGCTCAGATGGTTTTTGTCGATCAGTTTTCACTGGAAATGGAATAATGGAATATTCAACTTGTGTTAAAAAAGGATTAGTTTCCAATCCATATGGTATAATAGTAACAAAAGCAACAGTTGCTGATTTGATTGAAGAACAAATATCTATTATATTTACCTGTAATAAACCGATGTGTAATTCAAAAGAAAATGTGAAACAAGTTCTTCAACAATTAATTGCAGCTAAACTTATTCCGGAATCTATGATAACAACAACAATGTCGAATATAGGAATTAAACTTTTCAATAATAAGCAAACATTGTTTGTTTTTTTTCTATTTTTATTTTCAATATTTAAATTTTTAAATTGATATTAAAAATAAACCAGCTTTCATATGATTGTTTTTACAATAATTCTCAACTATATATTTTACCAATGCAATAAAATATCAATAATTAACAAACTGAGTTATACTTTCAAGTTTCTAACACTATAAAAAAAATCTAAACTATTATACAAAAATCTTAATAGAAACATCGAAACAAAAATATCGAGATGATCAAATTGTTCGTTGTAATAAAAGCATCCATTGCGTGTTGTTTAATTCACATTGTAAAAGACAAACAACGTGATAAACTATTAGTTCGATGTGTCATGTAACCAGAGATGGATGGAATTACAAGACTTACGAGGATATTTCTCGAGATATCAAATCAGTTTTTGATCGAAACAATGTTTCTTTGATAAGTACTAGTTAGTAATCAAAAAGTCTAGAATGATCTAGTTTTCTAACAAAAAGCTGTGATCATGTGAAAAATTGACTTTCGACTTTTGACTTCAAACTTTGAATGCGTAAAGTTCTCTATGAGATTAGTTCATTGGATAAAGTTTACTTTTTCTAGTCTTTCCTTTTGTAAAAATGTAAATATATAAACAAAAATTTACTTTTACGCATAAGTGAGATTTCAAATATTGAGTGTGTCACAATAGGAAATACAACAAAAGTTATAACTTGTTCAATGAATCAACCTTATTGAAAACTTTGTTTTTTTTTTCAAAATTTGAAGTTGAAACTCAAAAATCAATTTTTTATGTGATCTGGAAGTGATCACAGCTTTGTATTGAGAAATCCAGTAAATTTTCAACAACTCAAGAACGAAGGCCTGAAAAATTAAACGATTCTAGAGTTTTCTATTAATCACTAGTACTCATTAAATGAACACCGTTTCGGTCGAAAAGCGATTTGATATCTAAAAAGGTTCCTTCATTAGTCTCATTTGTAAATATATGAACTTTCCATTAAAAAAATTGATGTTAGGTACAGTTATGAGTCAACCTAGAACGGGACTTAAAGTGATTGAGTATTTCTAGAAAAAATTGTTTTTTTTATTTACTCTACTTGATTTATTTGAGAATAAGTTCTATAGATCAAAGAGTTGTCATAAAAAAATAAAGAAAAAAAAAATACAGTTCTGTTATTGATATATTTTAAAAAATATTCGATAGTTTTCGCCATACTCGTTCACAACACTTACCTCTGATCAGAATAAATGATTGTAAATTATTTTCAATTTCTTAAGGTAGTAATACAATATTTTTGTCTCGACTAGCTTGAATTAATATTTTTTCTACTGTAAAGTTGTCTTAAGTTTACTAAGATATGTTAGAACAAAACTATAATCTTTCTGAAGGGTAACAAATCTCATTTGTTCGTAGTTTTTGAAATCTTCATATTAGAATATGTTGCAAACTGTAAATATCTTATTTCTAACAAATATTTATTAAATGACACAAAAGAAAAACGTAGACAGATACATCACAAGATACTTTTGCAGTTATTTATTATCATTGTCATCATGGATTACTTCAATTCTTTTCCAGTTTAGACACATCGTGTGATTTTATTAATGTAGTGTGCACAATAATCCGAGTCTCGATGAAGGTGAGAGTGTCCGTAAACAGCGGGTACACGTCTAATAAATTTCTTTTTGACACACATTTTCAACAGGTGGAAAAACTTGTTTAAATGTTTAAAAGTTTCATTTAATAAATTGCAAATTATTAATTGTATCTGCATCGAGTGGTATCCATCGTTTGGTACTCTATTTCAACTAATATCTATATATCAGAAGATAGTTAATATTCTAAGAATGATCTGTATCTATACTTTGTTTTATCTATTAATAATATATAATAGAATGATGTGTTCTTCTTTCACATAATGATATCTATATATTTCTTTCGGTTAACAAAATTTAATGGTATGATTTGATGTTCGGCACATTTTGAAAAATCATGGAAGCGATAAATAAGATTCTTGAGGTGAAAAAGTTTGCCGTGGAACTTTAAGCAAACTATTAACTAATACATCAAGGTCAATTCGACTTTTGAAGGTTATTCATTAATATTGGAAATCGTAGAGAAATCATACGCTTCATGGCCAAGAGACTCAATACAATCAAGTACCTTATGTATAATGATACATTCTAAATCAATGCTTTGAAAATGATATAAAATTTGCTGGAATAAATTCTGATTAAAGATCATAGTTTTAAACAATAAATAAAAAAGTTCTCTTTCACTATCTATGAACTTTTGATTGTTTTGAAATAAAGAAAAAAATTCTGTTTTATAATTTTATTTAATTTATATACCGAATAAAGCATTTACTACAAGCATCAGTTCATTATGACAATATTTTAACTTTTATATGCTCTACAATAATGACATGAACATTTTTTCCAACATAAAATTATTTTAAGTTGATTTGTTTTTATTGTTGAAATATAAATAAATGGATTGATAATCATAGATGTTTTTGCAATAAATGCACTTATTGTTATTAAATATGATTGATCAGTTATAAAATTTACATGAAATAAATAAAATAAAGCAACACATGCATATGGTGTCCAACTAAGTAAATATTCACTGACTAAAAATATGGTAGCTAAAGCAAAATGTCGATCAGCTTTTAGTCGACGTAAATGTATGGCATAACGGATTTGAACAGGATCTACCGTAGGAGAAAATCTTACATGATTACCAACAGTTATTAACTTAGATAATTTTACTGTTTCAAATTTATTTGTATGTGAAGAACTACTATCACTTGATGATATAAATCGTGTTAATGAACGTTTTTTTACCAATACATTATTTGTTCTTGATAATTGAATTAATGATTGTTCATTCATTTTTAATGCTCTACGAAGAAGTTGACGAATAACACAATAAACATACATATTAACAATAGATAAAACAATAAATGGAATAAAATAAACAAATGAAAATGCTAATATTAAATATAAACGAGAATTAAATGAACGATCAAACCAATTTAATCCACAATGAAAACCAAGTCCTTCAGGTGTATATTTATTCCATTTAAATAATGGTGGTACAGCAAAAATAAGAGCAAATAACCAACAAATAATAACGGATATATATGAATGTTGTTGAAAATATTTTTTTGTTGTATTTGTAGGAAGAACTGTACCATAACGAATTATTGAAATCATCATTAACATAAACATATGAACACATCCATTTAAATAAGATATAAAACCTTCTAATTGACAATAAAATAATGAACATAAACGAGTACATGTAAAATTTTGTAAAATAACTGCTGGTATTATTACAATTATAACTAATATTGATGAAAATATCATTGATAATATTAATAAATAATGATGTGAACGAGTTTGTCGATGATAATATGACCAAAAAAGAAAACGAATATTAAATAAAATTGAAAATAAAGATATAAATATTATAATTAATCCAATTATACGAGATAGATTGCATTCGAAATTATTAATTGATTGAAATAATTCACCAACACATAATGTTACATTCGAATTCATTATTTAGAATAAAGAAAAATATTTATTTATTATCTATTAATAAAAAGAAATAATTCTATTAAAAAATATGAATATATATTAGAAATAACAACGAGACTTCTTACTTTGATTATATAATTCACAGTAAAATATATACTGAGCTATTATTATTGTTCGATATGTACTTAATACTAGTCAATTATAATTATAATGAATGTCCTATAGTTTGCTCTTAAGAAAGAGTCAAAAGAATGTTTCAAAACAGAGCACACTAAAGCATCATTATTACGCACGCGCTCGCGTTTGACTGATGTTAAACACTTAGAACATTAAACTAATAAATGTCATTATAATCCGATCTTTTAGTACAAAAATTTTTACTATAGTAAACATTAAAATTAATAATTGTTTTACTATTTTTGTTTAGTAATATAACATTTATTCGTATTCATTCTACTATTTATTTTGAAAAACAAAAAATATGAAAAAAAAAAAAAACTTCTTATTCAAAATATTATTCTCAAAGGTAGATTTATTGAACAAGAATTACACTATGAGGTTTATTCAAAATAACCTTTTTCGTTAATTTAATTATCCAGAAGAAAATGAAAAGTTCAAAACATATTTTTTTAGAGAAGTTATTCATTTATAAACAACATAATCGTACCTACTTTATCGTTAATCATTATTTAATGAACGATTTTTCTTTTTGCTTTGAATAACTTTATTTTCAACCTTTAGAAAAACTCGGATGGAAGGCATAGTTTTTCTATTGTTTCGAGAGTCAAAATTAAATAGATTTTTATTTACATAATTATACATAGGTCAAGTGATAAAATATAAATTGTTCTTTCTCTCATTATATAAGTTTTCGTGATTATTAAAAACCAAAAGAAGTATTGAGTATGCCTTAGTTTCATTATAACTCTGAAGTATTAGCCTAATTAATATAATAACATGAAATGTATTCGCACCGACAAATAATCATATCGGAATATATGCTTAATTCAATCATATCATTATTAGATGTTTTTAATATGTCATCTAACATTTCTAATATAAAATCATAGAAATATTAGCTTTACATTTTATGCACTTGTCAAAATCGAGAAGATTTTTAATCATTTTTTTTATACTTTGAAATCTTATTAAAAAAAAATCAGAATACTCAAATACAGAGAAAAAAAATGTAAAAGCATTTTCAGTGCTTGTTTTTTCTGCATCGAATTATTAATAAATACCTAGGCCGATCAATATATTAAATTACTTTCAAACGGATGTTATATCTGATAAAGAAGAATTATTATAGAGTGAACTATCCTTTCAAATCTAAGATAGAACTTAATGAGTAGAGTTCCTGATAGCCAGAAGACAATAGTATATAACGAGCATTAATCCCAACAATGAATACAGAAGCTTAAGTACGGAAAATTCAAACATGAGGAAAGTTTAGCATTTAAAAAAATAATTAACATAAATATGAAATCTACTGAAAAATTAATGAATAACTATTGTAGTAGTTTAGACATAATTTTTGTTTTTCTATACCATGTGTTGATATAATTGCTATGTTAAAAAAAATTTAAAATATATGACAAGAAAAAGGTTCTGTTGACGTATTTATAACAATGAGTAATTGTTTTATTTCTGTTCACTAAGATTACTAATAATTAGAAGGAATTTCAACCTGTTATACTTTCTTATTCAAATATTAATAATTGATCTTATTAATATTTAAATTTCAGAGACTTGACTTCATCAAATAAACATCTAATTAGATTTAATTCAGCCGAATTGAATCAATTCGAACTCGAATAAAAATTTTTTTATTATACTCTTTTAATAGATTTCATATTTATCTAGATTTTTTTTAACGTACTAAATATTCTCATGCTCATTGTTTTCTAACTTTTAACAAAATAGCAATGCAACAATTTTTTCCGATGACATTAAGAATGTTTCTTCTCTTTCATGACCCAAATGTTTTTTTGTTTTTATTTTTGATTTCTTTGTGACTATTATACAATCTAAGGTAGTATTTTATCTACTGAATATAGCTTGAGATTCTCTAAAATTATCTTTAAACATTAAAAAATTCGAGAAACCACATTGGCTCGCATTTTTTTTTTTGAACAAGTTTTCCATGAAAAAGAAGTGAAAAAATATCTCCATTTCTCCGATCTAGTATGTCGATCGAGCTCAATAGTTTTTCATATATACTATACATTGTTTTGTATGGGTATTATGTATTACAAAAAATATTGTTTTGCTGATCTTTAACAGTTCTTACAAACAAAAAAAGATCTATTTATAAAAAGACATGGATTGTTTAGGATACCTTCTATATGTTGGCTTTTTATTTAAAGAATAAAAATTCCGGTTCAAACGGTGTCTAGTGCTTACAGAAAAATTTTCAGCGTGAACGAACATAAAATCTAAGAGAAACAAGGATGAAAATAGAAACCATTATGATTCTTGTGTTTGATAGAAGATGGCATCCAAGAACTTTGAATCTATGGGAACTTTTGTTTTACTCAGCAAGATCTATGTGACCGGAAATTTTTTTCTGATGAATCATTCGTCACAAGCTGAGAAAATGAAAGAAAAATATTCTTGAATACAAAACTTAATAAACTCTACGCAATAACACAAATTATTGAATGATATGTATGAATTTTCAAAAAAAAAACAAAATCAAACCTTTAAATTTATCAATAGGTTATTCGTTAAATTTAAACAATAGATTAGTTTATAATAAATGAGTACTAGTACTTTTATTGATCGAAAAGAAAAAAGAAAACATTTATTCAGAATGAAGATAATAAGTTTATATACACCATAAATATAGAAATTACAAACTGATTGCAATTCAAGCGAACAAATTATGTTGTATGTAAAATTTTCTTTTACTCGAGCATAGCAAAAAAATAATAGAAAAAAACAGAGGTGATAAATTTGATACTCATGATTGAACATGAAAAGATAGGTGTGTAGTGGATTAACTGATGAGAAAAAAAAAAACAAACATCATTTAATATTAAAATACCTTGTCATATTTAATTCTCTTTTTTTCGAAGCATTGAAGAATATAGTATTACAAAAAAAAAAAAAAGAAAATCTGTCTACAGATTATATTATTTTCTTCTTTTATTTTCAAGCTTTTAATTAATGATAACGTCTTTTGAAAAATAGTTGCAAATCTTTTTTTTTTTTATTTGAATAATTAATTTTCCTCTTAGTCATTTTACATTCATAAAGAAAAATTCTCAATTCGATCTTCTTCATTTATATTTAAGAAAGTTTTGTCTTTTGAATCATATTTAAGAGAATCAGGCAAATGTAAAATTTTCAATAGATATAAAGATCTTCCCATGTCTATAAACTAAATATTCATATTATTCTTACTAATGTATCATTTCTAACCATTGAAAAAAGTCCGCATATTTTACCAATTTACATGACATGTTTGGAAATGCAAAAAATAGATTTTATCAATAACAAGTTTTTTAAAATAAAAAAAACTTCTAATAAAGAAAATCTCCTACGAAACAATAAACGAAGATGGGTACAATTTTTATATTTCAAACAAATCGACGATTCATAACGATATACGGAAACGATGATCGTGAGTTGAAATGAGATAAATCGTGCTTTTATGATCGACTGTTATCCTTCGTTATATTCATAATAGAGGTGACTTTATTCATGAAATTTCAATTCTTTCTGTTATATTAAGAAGTTCCTAATAATAATTTACTTTAAAAAAATATTATTATCGAAAAGTACATTGCTTACCTTATTATAAATGAATAGAACATATAACAAACTTGAAAAAAAAACAATGTGGTATGCGATTCTTCATAGTTGAATGAGAACACAATCGAAAAAGAAAGAAAAAATAAACAAAAAGACAATGTTCATATGTATAAATTGATGTTTTGAATTGAACTTTTCTCTGAAACTTCTTCACACGTAGAATCATTTTTGTTCATAAATTAAATATCTAAAGTAGAGTAATGAATAGAGATCATAATTAAAAATCAAAGCTAAACGTAATCATAATAGAAGAAATCTTCTTAGAAGACAGGAACTAACTCTTCAGCTTTACATTTAATCTACCATTTAAGGATTATCTGAGATTTTTATTTACAATAGAAAAATTTTAATTGAAAAAATAATTGATTAAAAAACAAATTTAAAATAATCTGTGTTAAAAAAACGTGTCAATACGACCCCATATGGAAAAGTGAAATGTGAAACTCTCACATTGTGACTGATATAAATTTGGAATGTGTTATCAGAGAAGTTTAAATAATTTACTTTTTAAAAAATGTTAAATAAATGAATAAATCAAAGTATAATCATTTTGATCGTTGATAGGCATGCTCTAAAATTTTGTCATTTCGATTATATTTGCATTAAGAATTTCTATTCTATCAAATTATTTGATTTATATAACATCGTTATAATGAAAAAACTTATCTATATTGTTAGATCCATTTTCAATACATAACTTTTTTATAGAAGTTTGTTATTGCAGTTCCTTCAAGACTGAAAATGTAAAATTCACATATTACGTATCCCAGTCAAGTGAATAATGAAGAAATGGTCATTAAAATGCTTTATTACTTGTAGCTAGCCCATTTCGACCATTAAAATACATCTTTTCAAATAAATAATGGTGAAATGGCCATTAAAACGAATAATAATTCATTAATGAATAATTTTGGCCATTTCACAATTACGGACTCTGTTTTTTTTGAGTTTTAAACTGATTTGAAAAATGTTTATAGCTTCAAAAATTTATATGAATTATTAATGTTTGCTTATCAAATTTTTTTTTTTCGAAATAGCCAAAAATATTCTTATAAACTTAACCGCTTAAGTGTCTATGGAAATATGCGACTCTGATGAAATTACACTTAATAGCAGTCGAAAAGCTGTTGTTTGTATGATAAATCGAAGTAGACAGATTATATTTTATGTGATGAAGTCTTCGTAAAAAAACAGGATGCATTAGT